GGTGTCTTCTTGGCTGGCAGCCTCCCTCGACAACTGGTTGATGTGGGCTCCCTGCCGGTCTCCTTGTCTGTTTGCTAGGGTTCTGGTTTTTTCCCAGCTTGCTCGATTAGGGTTGCTGGTAACTTAATAGAAGTCCCATTTGGTTCCTTCCCAGGTTTTGCCCTGCTGGTTTATCTGCTGTTCTGGTATCTTTAGAGCAGCCTCTTTTGACGCTCTTGTGATTGCTGGGTTCGTTCCTCGGTGTCCTTGCATCGGTTGCTGCATCTCCTGCTTCCTCTTCAGAGTTTTTGGGGTTCGGTGCCATGGCGCCTTCCTCTCCCCTCACTCGATATGCTCCTACTTTTCTCTCAGTTGGGGCTCTGTGGCCAGTGCTCATGAGGCTGGCCAGGGTTGTTGGGGGCTGTCCTTACATCTGGCTCACAGCCCGGTGTGGGAGTTTGTGGCAGTGTTGTAGGCGCTTATACGCCAGATCCTGCTTCCATTTGTACAGCGGCGAGGCATGGAGCGTCCGTAAATAACTTTACGGATGTGCAGTACAGACACATCAGTGCATCCAAAATTACAATATTTGTTAAAATTCAAGTTTTTATCCAATCTTATGGAACTGGTTTTATAATGTGCACCAATGTCTTCCCATTTTCTGGGCTGGCCGAAATGAAAGACAAAGCATGAGAATTGAGGTGACAAAAGTGAAGAGTGTACACATTTTATTGCTCTTACCCGCTCACAGGTAACGTTCAGCCGATTTCTTAGTTTGGTGTGGGTGGCATGCCGGGTATTTGGACCTTGTATGCATATACTCGTGTAGGGAATTCTATTGTGAACATTTTGATATCAAAAGGAGCAAGGTACAATGAAAATTGAGGTGAGAAACTTGAAAAGAGTAAATACATTTGTGAGCGGGTGTGCCAGTGGGTGATAGCTCATGGGTAACGCTTGGCCGACTTTCGGCTTTGCCACTGGTTGGACACGCCAGGCTTTTGGACCTTATATGCATATATCCATGTAGGGAATTCTATTGCGAACAAATTGATACCAAAATGAAAGATGTAGCATGAGAATTGAGGTGACAAAAGTGAAGAGAGTATACACATTTTATTGCTCTTGCACTCTCACGGGTAACGCTTGGCCAATTTCTAGGTTTGGTGCAGGTGGCATGCTGGGCTTTTGGACCTTATATGCACATACTCATGTAGGGAATTCTGTTACAAACATTTCGATACCAAAGTGACCAACGTACAACGAAAATTGAGGTGCTTCAACTTAAGAGTATACACATAGTAGTTTTGCCGCACACTCTCGGGAAATGATTGGGCCACCTTGGGGTAGTCTGGCGTGCGCTCACCCAGAACACGAAAGTGTTAAGGCTCGGTGATTCGGCTCCATTCAGACTGTTTCCCTGTGGTTCATTGTCTCACCCGCAGGGGGTTCCCTTCTGCCCGTGGCTCTTTGGAGCTAGTCGCTTTGGGTGGCTCTTCTGCTGAGTTCTTGGGGTTAGCCTTCTGCAGCGTTCACATTCAGGGTGTGTCCAACATCCTAGCAGAAAACCTGTCGCTCTGCATTCATCTGTCCTCAGAGTGGATGGTTGACGCTGCCTCCTTCCTTTGGCTTTGTCTGACGTATGGATGCGTGGAGGTGGACCTGGAACATGTTGGCGAGGGGTATATGCTGTTTTGGAACAGAGTGCAGATACTTCACCCTAAATTATGTAAATTTTCAGTTAATGAAAAAAAAAAAGTTAAAATCTTTAACAGGGAAGATGGGAAGATCAGTATGATGGTACTGAATTTTTTTTAGAGGAAGGCAGAAACAGAGTACTATAGAACATATAAGAGAGAGGAACAGGCAGATAGAACGACTGCAGGATTATAGAGGGGGAGGGAGATATCCACAAGACTGGAATACAAGTAATCAACAAACACACAGGTACTACACCACACAAAACCCGTGGTACTATCAATACTGGAATACTGAACAAACCACTACCAAAACAGCACACCCTGGACTAGGGTGGAGAGGGAGGAGAACTACCAAAGCCCACCAGAAGTGACATGCAATATGGCAAAGCATTCATATTTGTAAACATACAAGGCCTTAAGTCAAAATCAAGAAATAAAGTTCAATTCTTAAATGGCCTACTAATAAAATCACACTCAATATTTGGTGCATTTTCAGAAACCCACACGAAAGACTACATGGATAGTGAAATATGGATCCCAAATTATAATCTATATAGATATGACAGAGTAATTAGGTCAAGAGTAGGAGTAGGTCTGTACAGTATATTAAAGAGGAACTGGCATGCACAGAGCTCCTGTTCTGGACCAATGTGGTGGTAGAAGTACTTGGAATCAAGGTAGAAAATATAAATCTAATTATTATTCTAATATACAAACTGCCAGATGCAACAGTTGAGGAATTCACTGAGCAGATACACACTCAAGAGACTATTCTTGATAACCTAGCAAACCCAGTACCTGATATTATACTTTTTGGAGACTTCAATCTACCCAGTTTAAAATGGAGAATAGTAAACAATAACATTATAGCAGGAAATCAACCTGGAAACAACCAATCACAGGCCAGAGAACTACTGAGATTCTGTGACAAATTCTTGCTCAATCAGCAGATTACAGAACCAAATAGGAATGAAAATACGCTGGACCTGATATTCATGAACAATGATGAGCTAATCAGAAGTACAGTGCAGTATTACAATCTCGGACATTACATCACAGACCACAAGCTCATTGAAGTGCAAACTAACATTAATAACAATAGTAGGCCCAAGAGAAACAACAATCGAGAAGGGTTATTCGGTAAATTCAATTTTAATAATAAAAGGATAGACTGGGAGAAAATAAACAAGGACCTTAGAAACATTCAATGGGAAACAGTTCTAAGTAATAAAAACAATAAGTACAGTAATAAGGACTTCCTACTCAAGTAATAGAAAAACTAACTTCTGAAGCATATGAAGTCTGTCTGAAACATGTGCCTTTGAGGAAAGCCAGAAAGAGGTCCAACGTAGAAAAAGAACGCAGACAAAACTACAAACGAAGAAAAAAAATAACAGAAAAGCTTAAGCAGACACGACTTTCCATACATAGAAGGAATAATTTAAACATGGAAATTGAAGAAATCGAACAGAGTGAAGCATTCATATCAGATAGATAGAAGAAAAGCAACTAGAACAGAAAACAAATCAAGAAATAAAGAAAAATCCAAAATATTTCTTCACATATACGAAATCGAAAGCAAAAACCACTGCCAGTATTAGACCTATTCGTACAAGTGAAGGTTCATACACGGAGGACGACAAAGAAATCAGTGAAATTCTAAAAAAGTAGTATGAGAACATGTTTAGTACTCCAATAAACAGCATGAAAATGGCAGATACAGTCAACTTCATTATGTGTGATATCCAAACCCCTGTAAATATAACTGATATCGACACGAGCGTGGCAGATTTTAGAAGGGAAATTGACAACATGCCCATGCACTCACCTCAAGGCTAAACAAGTTTTACACTTTACACACAGAAATCACAATAGTGTGATGCATCAAATAAAGAAATCCACAAGGGCCGTGATGAGGGTTCGAACCTACGTCCGAGAGCATCCCAGACGCGCCTTAATCGACTGTGCCACGACATGGTCAAAAGAATTGCAACCAGGAGTTGATGTGCCCTCACACGGATCCTGCAGTCTCTGAGAGACAACCAGGAGTTGATGTGCCCTCATATGGATCCTGCAGTCTCTGAGAGACAACCAGGAGTTGATGTGCCCTCACACGGATCCTGCAGTCTCTGAGAGACAAACCAGAGTTTTACGCTCTATAAAACTTTTGGCCGTGTCATGGCACAGTCGATTAAGGCACGTCTGGGATCCTCTCGGACGTTGGTTCGAACCCTCATCACGGCCCTTGTGGATTTGTTCATGTTTTGCACTTCTCATGAATTGTTTCATTATAGAAGCTGTCACTGTCACGTAACTAATTCTCACCTTACCTTCCTTTTCTTTTATCTTGAGAATGCATTTTAGGATTGACCTTAGAATGCATTTGGGATTGACTTGAGAATATATCTTGGGATTGGCTTTAGAATGCATTTTGGGATTGAGTTTATACTTTGTCATAATGCTGAACTCTACAATGCCACCAAGCAGTATAACCAACTGTACTTGATTTGGGTATGTAAACTTTCTAGCCTTTTGGGCGTTACCTGCTATGTAATGTGATGTCAGAATAGTGTGCATTAATCTTTTTACTTCAAATGTTCCTTAATTCCAGACAATGTATTGGATCTTCCTAGTTCAAAGTGAAGACATTAACAGTAGTTTTGTTCTAACTGCCATTTTGAGTTTGTTTTTCCATTAAATATTTAGCATGTTCAGGTTTATATATACGTATTAATAATAATTCTGTAATCGTGCAATTGATAACATTTTAAATTACAATCCCAAGGTGTCGGATAAATTATTTTGATTGAATTGTATCATTATTGTTGCTGTGTTGCTTCGCAATGAGTATCAATGTTTATAAATTTTCCTATCGGGGCAAAATTTATTTGGCTAAATTTTAGATTTTTCAAGCCGGGATTAGTGTTTACCATCAAGCCGAAAATTCATCACTCAAATGATGAACAGTTAAAAAGAGTGTTTGCAAATTTGCTGTTTATGTACCATGGGATTATGGTATGTTGAGGAATGGTATCATGGTATCTTCCTCTCTCACCAAGATGTCATTGCTTCAACACCCCACTGCTGTATCATTATATCTAGATGGAAGAGATAGGTTGCTTCTGTAGATCTGTAATTTTCCAGTAGAGTGATTTAATCCACTTGTAACTATTGTACTCCATTTGATTGTAATTTATAATTTAACTATATAGCTAAAGGGAAGAATGGATGGCATATGATGATTTCTATTGAGGGTAATTCTAACTACTATTATTCACTATTGTTTGATGTTTGATGTTTTGAGCAGCTTGTTCACCTCAG